AAACTCTTACTATAAAGCACATTCTCTGCGATTGCCTCAACTTTTCCTCGGCTAGAAGTATTGCATTTGGAACGATTAACCCTTTGAACATTCTACAATCAGCTTCAGAACAGAATATCAATTCAATATATTACTTTTGTAATACTACTAAGTTCACTATCTAATATCCATTTATTTAAATTAGAGCCGATAGCCTGTGTTGCTAGTGCTCAATGTCTTTTTTTAGTCTAAGAATTCATTTCATTAGTCTAAAATTAAAATAATAATAATAATAATAATAAACAAATAAGTTTAGGCGCTGAAGCCAAAAGTGGCGAATTTAATGTTGTACAGGTACGTTGCAAATGAAAATTGAAATGAACCCACGCTACATTTAAAACGTGTTTCACGTTCCAGGCTGAGGTTAAAATAAATGAAAAAGAAACTTTAAAAATACTAGTAGCTGGTTTAAGTCGCGGTACCCTAAAAATTTCGAATTGATTAGAGAGGACAAACAGCAAGTAGGGATCAATTTACCGTATATGTATTACGCGACGTCGAGCACTGGGATGAATTAAATCGAGCTTCTGACTCCAGTCAACTTGCTTCATTTCATAGCGAAACTTCTTACGATCAAAATAGGAAATGATACAGCTTGCTGGGATCCAAATAACTGAAGTAATTATTACAATAACCACTGAAAAGGCATAAAATCAACCAATTAGATGTGTTGTTGATCTTTAGGTAATTATTTAATAAACTTACTAACAATGTTGTCTTTAAGAAAACGTAAAACTCTATTTATGTTAATTTCTTCGATGATATCCCAGAAGCGTTCCACTACGTCTTGTATCGTTTTCTCACATACTCCCTTTTTTTAAAAAAATGTGTAAACTTAAAAATTATTGTCGGAAAATATAATAAGTGTCAATACTTTGTTACAAATCTTTAATTGAATTCCAAGTATTAATATTAAATTAATTTAATGAAAGGGTTTATCCTCTTCAATCTGTATACAGGTAAGTTGCATGACCCTCAAAACTACAAAACCAATATTTTACACGTCTTGTACCGATATTCGATAAATAGTATGTTGAATCGTCGTACTGGATCGACACCCCCTAATGGTTAATGGCCCGTCTCCGAAGGAGCAGGAGAAGGAATCAACCATGGTTAAGGCGTCAAGTTTAACTCAATCCCGTAACCTCGACGTCGTCATCCCAATCAGTTCCGGGTGCTGAAGAAATGAAATCCGAAATCGAAATTCGAATTCCGAATTTCGAAATCTTTCACTTTACAGTGTGTGCAAATGTGGTGGAGTGCCGCGTAAACGGTTGCGAATTTGCTTATTTTTAGCGCATTGTACCTGCTCTTCCGATCTTCCATGAAAATGCGCCAACGACCTTAGAAATTGAATAGAGACTTAGCTTATAGATTATATATAATAGTATAGCACACCTTTCTATGAATCGATTCATCTGTTCACAATACTTCTGGCCTGAGAATGAATGTCGTTATATTTCCTTTTAGTTGGGTCGACTGCATTTTTATACGGCGTCATTAACCATGGTTCTGAAGGCTATCCGCTACCATCTGAAAGATTTTGAATAATACAGTTACGCTTCACTCTATCTTGCTGCCAAGGAGCCAACCATTACTTTCATTCCTATTGTTGTTGTATAAATACTGGGCGTTCTTGAAATCTTAAAAACTCAAGAACGACTGAAGAATCGTAAAAATTGTATGAGCAAGAAGACGAATTGTAAGAAGAGATGTAAAGGTCATGAAAGCATAAATTTAAATGTACATATTGTTGTATATAGATTCCTGCAAAAGTTCCTCGCCTCGAAAGAGCCTTTTGAATAAGTTTTACGAAAAGTTAATGACAAGGATGACACAAAGAGAGCCTGCATGTCTCCGGTTATCCGTTTAGCCGTTCTTTTGGAATTGCTGGGATCCGGAGACTATCAACGGCTAGCGTGTTGCTACTTTTACTTAAGCATTGCACAGAGCACCAGAGAGCACAAAATGCGGAAAAAGCTTCGCTCGGAATATATTCGGAGTTTATTAATGTCAAGTGAGTGGTTCCATAGAACTTTGGTTCCTAGTGAAAAGTAACTTCTTGTTACGTCTTCAAGAATCTAATAGCTGAGAAAACCCAAGTATTGGACAATACTGGTTGGAATCTTTTGTACACAGACGGGTCAAAATCTCCTGGTCTGCCTCCTGCTTGTGCGGTGGTAGACGCTACAACCACATATTCTCAACCACATATTTCACGAAAGCACTTCAACTTTCATAACCGAAGCCAGAGCTATCTTTCACGCTGCCAACCTTGCCCGTAAAAACAAAGTCAAAACCGTCATTGTTACTGACAGTTTGTCTGTATTACAAGTTACCCGGAACCCTTCGACTTCGAGATGGAGCACCATCAACAAATTAAGGAATATAATTACTACACCCGACGGAAAAATTAAAATGTTATGGGTACCAACTCACATCGGTTTACTGGGAAATGAGCAGGCTGATCGAGCGGCACAGTATGCTGCTTCTGCTCCTCTAATTATGGATGATGTCATGGAAAAG